GACAGCAGGTGAGAGGTGGGGCTGAGGGGCAGCCACCTGGGCTGGGAACTAGGGGGTGCAGTGTTCTCAGACCCAGAAATGGAGAGGGGCTGTGGACCCATGCGATGGGGCGTTATGTGGGTGCATCCCCCACCTGTTGAGTTCCTGTGGCTCTGTGCTGTCTCCTCGGATCCTGCCTGCCTGAGATCTTCCCAGTGGGTGGAGGTGGCCAAGCGACCCCAGTCATTGTGGGCACAGGGAGTCTAGGTGGGAGGGGTGCTTCACAGGTAGAGAGGAAGACAGCTTCCTGAGACAGGACAGGCAGGCATGGAGGGCTGCCTTGGAAGCTCTGTGTGTGCACCATGTGGAGTGCCAGCTGTGGGGGAACCTGGAATGACTGTTCCAGGAAGACGGGCCCTGTTGCTAAAGGTGTGGCCCTGGTTGCTCAGCTCCCATTATCAACCAGTGGAAGCGGGCCCTATTGCATGCCCAGGCTTTGAGCTGCTGGAGCCCTGCAGAACCTCAGCGCTGGAAATTGGATGGTGACATGTGAGGCCTGCCTTGGGCACTGCGCAGGCTTGGGACCCCACCGCTGGGCGATAGGAGGAGGGAGGAGTGGCCCTTGAACTGCGGGCGTGTGGACTACAGTACAGCCCAGCTGGTGGGGACAGCTGGGGTCTGGGCAGCAAGTCTGCGCTAAGCATTCCATCCCCCAGCCGCCGCAGTGGGCCACCTACATCTGCACCATGGTGCACAAGGAGCGCAGGCTCCCGGTGCTGGTGGAGCTGCTGCAGTCTGAGATGGACAAGGTGGTGCGGGCCATGGTCACCGCACTGCGGAACCTCTCGCTGGGCAGGCACAACAAAGACCTCATTGGTGAGAGAGGAGCCGGGCAGGCCGAGACGCGCAGGGTAGGGAGGGCGGTGGAGGATGGGTGATTCTGGAGCTCTCATGGCAGCGTGATGTCCTGGGGCCCTCCTGTCACTGTCCCTCACCCACTTCCACGCCACAGGAACGCTGTTTTTCCTGTAGGGACAGGCCAAAGGGTGTCCTAACACCTGTCTTTGCCTGTCAGCCCGCCTAGGGAGCTACGCCATGAAGGAGCTGTTGCAAAAAGTGAGCAATGCGCAAGCTCCCCCGCGCCCTGGAGGAAGACACTGTGGTGGCTGTGCTCAACAGCATCCACGAGATCGTTGTCCGACAGCCTGGACAATGGCCGATGGTTCCTGCAGGCTCGCAGTGTGCCCTCTGCGCTAGCAGGTGCGTGGGGTGGGCAGGGCTAGCTGGCAGGTGGGCAGGTTAGCAGGTGGATGGGATTTGGGGAGGGGCCTGACGAGGGAGGCGTGGCTAGTGGTCACTGACCCCACCCCGGGACGGCCACAGCCAGCAGGTGCGCGAGGCAAAGGCAGCGTCCACGTGCTGCTGACCTTGTGGAGCTACAAGGAGCTGCGTTGGGCCCTGCAGAGGGACGGCTGGACCAAGGCGCACTTCCAGGTGCGGGCTGCTCTCCCCTCTGCCGGCTCAAGTCCCAGCCGCAGGAGAAGGTGTTGCGAGCTCACCCCAGTGTTGTGTCTATACCTTGTGCTTTCTCAGTCTGCTGCAGTAGCCAGCAAGGTGCCTAAGGGAGCACAGAGCCCCGGGGGGGGGGGGGCTTCGATGACAGCATGCTGCCATTGGTGGCCAAGGGCCTGGGTGCGAGAGGCTGACAGGTGGTGCGGTGGTGGAGTAGAGAGACCCTGCGTGGGCTGGGGACCTGGATCACTGCTCCCTGGGGATTCTTGGTCATGTGCCGCCTGCTCGGGTGCCACTGCAGGGGTGGGGGTGGGGCATTGCTGGCCAGGCAGGGGTGCCAACAAGTGGGCAGCAAAGGATGCCCAGCCCATCTTGGCAGCCCACCACTCACACCTGCTCTCACCCTTGCAGACAGCGAGAAGGCAGGTAGCCGGGAAGTGATTCCTCTGGACACACTTGGCCCACTGGGTGAGTGCAGGTGCTGTGGGGCTTGTGGGAAGAAGGGTGGGCAGGTGGGAGGGGTCGTGGAAAGGAGGGAGGCAGATGGGAGGCCCTAGGCTGATGCTGGGAAGGCCTGCTGGCTGGACGACCTGTGCCCAGCCACAGCTCTACCCCCTTTAGGGGCCGGTGGGAGTGTTGACAGCAGGTGCTGGCAAGCTCCTACAGTGCCCCGCCATAGTCCTCTGCTCTGCTGTCCCCAGAACTCTACATCATGGTGGACCTTAGAGAATACAGGGCCCGTGGTAGTGACCCCATGGGGGAGGCCTCCGAAAAGAAGCCATTGAAAGTTAGTAGTGATTGGCTGCCAGGGGAGGGGATGGGTGCACCCTTCCCTCCTCTGGCTCATCCAGTTGCAGTCCTCAAGTCCTGAGCCCTGGGCCATTGGGGGCCAGGGAGCACAGCTGGACTGTCCACCCTTGCTGGGAAGGAGAGCAGGGTCTGGGAATGGGGGAGTCTAGCCAGCTCGCCTACGCCTTTCTCTGCATGTGTGTGCTAGGCGAGGTCCACCACCTGCTCCACGCCAGTTCTCCTGGCTTAACACACGGGCCGGTGCACTCATCAGCTCCACCCAGCTCGGCTTCTCCCTTGGCACTGTGGCAGCGAACCCATCCTCAGGCCCCTCCCCCAATCTCCCCCCACTAACTTAACTTCTGTGTTCTGCCTCTTAAGGCTTCTGTGCTCCTGCCTGCCCACTCACCCACCCGCAGTGCCTGCGTGACTGCTGCAGCCCGACTCAGGGAGGAAGGCTCCTGCCCCCAGGCCCAGGAGGCCCTTGGTCAGGCTGGTGGATGCCGTGGGGGGACACTAAGCCTCAGCCTGTTGACTCCTGGGTCTAGCTTGCATGCCTGGTATGTTGTTCTCTGCCCTGGCAGTTCATCTCACTTGCACCTTCCTCCTCTGGCCGGGGCTTCTCAGAATAATTGCTGCTGGCTGCATGCTCTGTTCTGCCTGTGTGCCCCTGGCAGCACCACCCCTCACTCACCCACACACAAATTTGGCTCAGGGAAGGCCATACCGGGGGGCTAAGGGCATGGATCAAGCAGGGAGGGTCCCCATACACCTGCTAGCTCCAGGCCTGAGGCCCTCGAGGGTCAACCCATGCCATTCCTGAACTTAGCTGCATCCATCCGGTGTCTCCATCAGTGCCTGAAACCCCACGCTTGCTTCCCTGCTGTCCTGCCCTGTCCCTCTCCCAGCCCTGCACATGCATGCAGCTGCAATGCCCTCCTCCCTCTGCCTCTCCCTCCATAGGGCCTGGGTCCAGCCATGGGCTCCTAGGGACTAGATCTCCAGCAAAAGGGCCGACCTGAGCAACACCTGCTGTGGAGCTTGAAGCCTCCTGGCATCAGGGTGACACCCCCCTTCCACCGTGTCACATCCCTACTTCCCTGCACCCCCTGCTCACCCAGCTTCCCGACCTGGTGCTGTGTTCCAAGGAGCTGCAAGAAAGGGTGCAGAAGAGCAGGCCACCTCAGGAAGGCGTGCCAGGTGGGGCGCAGGAAGGGGGCGCAGGAGGCTTGTTGGAGACCAACAAGAAAGTTGCCCAATGTGTGTGTGTGTGTGTGTGTGTGTGTGTGTGTGTGCACAGTGCCCTGGGCCAGAAAGGGTAGCAGGACAGGTGTGGAGGCGAGGCCAGGCAGGGGCCAGGGCTCAGGGAGAGGAGCTGAACTCCAGAGGGGCTGCCCTGGGTGGGGGCCCAACATGCTGGGAAGTCAGAGCTGGTCTGGCTGGTTTGTTCCCTGCCCGGCCTGTGGAGTGGTGTGGGGGAGCCCTCATGCCGCCCAGGTGTCCACCTCCCCGGAACCTCAAGGAGTGCCTTCCGGGGCTGACTTTGGGGTGGTGGCAGGGATGCTGCTGTTCGGTGCCTGCTGTTTATGACTTTGGAAACTGAAGAAACAGTATAACACTGAAGATGAGCAATTAAATGAAACAAAAATAAGACTACTGGTACACTTCTAATTTTTTTTTAAAGAAAATGCAAAGTTTTAAAGAAACACCAAACAGAGCAACTTCCATCTTCTGTCTCTTGTGGTCTGCTGGCTCCCATCTGGGCTCTGAAGGCTGGGTGGTGGATGGGATGGCCACACCCACACCCACACACAGGGCTGCACCTGCTGCGCCCACGCTGATCCACACTGGGTGGGTGACTGTGGCCTCAAGCCCAGACTCGGTGCAGCCACAGGTGGGCCCAGCACGGACACGGTTGCTCTCTGGGTCTAGTCTAGAAACTGGGTCCCTGTTAAGACTTTGGGGCACCTCAGAGGTGGTGACCACATGTGTGACAGGTGGGTATGGGGTCTGGAAGACCTGGCACACAAGGTGGGTTTGAAGGGTCAGAGGAGTTTGGTTACCCACCAGCTGGGCCTCCGGGTAAGGAGGAACCATTTTACCCTAGCACCTGCTAGGAGGCTGGCTGTGGAGGCTGGCTTACTGCCTGCTTCGCTTGGGCTTCCTGGGTGGACAGTTGTGCCTAGTAGGGGGCGGGGAGGAAGGGGCTTCAGGTTCCCCTGATCAGGCCACTAGCAATACCCAGGTTCAGGTGGGCTGACCAGGAATGGCCAGCCAAGGGCCCACCCAGAATATCCAGCACCCAGAACAGGCAGCAAAGTGGGTGGGATTGCAGCAAGGGAGGCCGAGAAGAACGGGACTGAGCTGCCATCTTCTACTGAAATATTAGATTTTTAATTTCCACAGTATGCAGTTTGCGTCCAAGGTGATTCCTGCTGCATGGACTGAGTAAAGAGGTGCAGACAGGGCTGGAAAGTGGAGCTGTGGCTGAGGCACTCTGCTGTCACCTGCTGGCGAGAACCTGGAGGACTTGGGGACAAGGCATGGTTGCTAGGTGCTCCAAGCTATAGCATGGGGAGGAGGTGTGGCCAGGGCCCAGGCTCTTCAGGCTGTGCCTGGCACTTGAAGGCAGATACCCCAGGCAGCAGCAGCAGCAGCAGCAGCAGGGTTGGCGGGGGCCAGCTTGGTGGAGGGACCCAGGGCCCAGTGCATGGTTGAGGTCATGCTGGACCATCTGGGCCCACACAGATGGCCTTCTCCAGCTCATCCACCACCTGGATGTGTTCCAACATGGCACTGTAGTGGGTGCGCTCGAACATGCTGCTTCCACGCATGTGCGCCAGGAAGTCTGGGGTTCCCGGGCAGATGACATTGTTGGCCAACAGCACCATCCCCTTCTGCAACAGGCCACACTGCTGCAGGGGACAGAGACAGATGGCCCTTGGGGCAGGGTAGGGTCAGGCATGCCCACATGGGAACCCCAGGTGGAGTTCATGGTTCTTGGCTTCAGCCAGTTCCAGCCTTGGCTATTGGGGTTCATTTGAGGAGTGAACCATAGGATGGAAGGTTTTTTTCCTGTCTCCCTCTTTTTGTATCCTGCTTTCTAAATAGTAAAGCAGGAAGTTAAGAACTAGGGGCTGGTGTTGGAGCATAGCATGGGAAGCCTCTGCCTGGGATGCTGCCACCCCACTTGGGCACTGGCTGCTCCACTTCTGATCAGACTGCCTGCAAATGATCCTGGGAAAGCAGTGGAGGATGGTTCAAGAACTAGGGCACCTGCAGCCACGTGGGACACCTGGGTGGTGTTCCAGTCATGGCTGGCCTCACCCTCCAGCAGCAGTGTGTCTGGCAGGTAGCACTCCTTCCAGTGGTCCAGGAACGCCATGTTCAGGGCTTCCACATCATGCTGCTGCTTCAGCTGAGGGAGGAGGTCCTGGGATGCCCCAGCAGCATGGTGACCTGTAACAGTGACTGTTGACACGTCCTAGGGCAACAAACGGGCACAGCTGCAGCCCTTTCTTCCCTGGGAACCAGCTGGGCATGGCTGCAGCCCTTTCTTCCCTGGGTACCAGCTGGGCATGGCTGCAGCCCATCCTCCCCACCAAAGCTCCAGTCCAGTCTCCCCACTCCCCTAATCTTGGGAAGGGACCATAAATCGAAGCCCACATTGGCCACGTGGGTCAGAGAAACTGCACCTTGTCCTGTAGTCCGGCAAAGTCCAGCATCTGCTGGGTGATGGCAGCAAATTCGGGGTTGATCTCCACGGTGAACAGCTGCCTACCTGGGGGCAGCAGGTGGGCCATGCGCATGACCGAGTAGCCACAGAAACCCCGAGCTCCAGCAGCAGACAGGGGCGATACTCCCACATCACCGCATCCACAATCTCTCCTGCAAGGGGCAGAGGCAGCAGAGGGTGGCTTGAGGGCATTGGGGGGTGGCAGGTGCCTGACCCAGTTCCCTCTCTCTCCAGTGGGATCTGCTGCCTACATCCCCAACTCCCACCTCACAGACCCCTGCTTCCACTGTGCACCTTATCCCTGTGTCCTACCATAGTGTCTCCCCGGCACTGGAAGCTACATATGGTGCCCCTCACTGGGGTGTGGGATGACCAGCAGGGGTGTCCCCGTCACCACACCCAGGGGCTGCAGCTAAGATGCCTGTGTCCACCCTGGAGCTCAAAGCCAACAGGAGAACCAGGGAGAACCTGCCAGGCTGGTCCCATGACTCATGTCCAGAGATCAGAAGGAGCAGCACACACCACTCATACCCACCTGGTGCAGGAGCTCCTGAACCCAGGGTGCTGAGGAGTCCCGAAGACTGATGTTGGTGGACACCACGGTGGCCCGTGTTTCCCCTGGGCAGACTTTATCCATGTGGACAGTGGTCTGGGTGCAGGCTGGGGCACAGGAGGCCGATCTGCTGGCTGCACAATCTCTGTCCAGGGGGCGGGCTCTGGACCTGCGGCTGGGCCCATGGAGCTCCAGTCCATTCCCTCGCCCTGGCCTGGGTGCAGCCACAATCCCAGAGACAAGGTGACAACAGGTTCCCCCAGCCCTAGCCTGAGAACCCCAGCCCTCCCCAGTGACCATGTCCGTGCCCTCTGTCTGCCAAGACTCTCACAATCATGGTTGGCTCCTGCGAGCAGAAGGCGTCCATGGCCTGCAGCACGCTCTGCGGGTCCTCGCGCTGAGCCTGGATCCTGGAGCAGGATGCGGATCTCCTTGCTGTCCCCCATGCTCTTGGAAGCAGCTGCAGATGCAGACAGACAGCAAGGCTGCGGCACACTGGGCTGTGGTGACCTGCGACCTTCCAGGCCGGAAGCCTGCCCCGGCTCGGTTCCCTGGGCCTCCCCACGGGGAAAGGCGTGGAAGCCGGCTCTCCCCTGCACGGGCCCGACTGCGGAGCTGAGGAAGGACCCGGCCGAGGGCAGCGCGCCCCGTGCCAAGGCCGGAGCCCCGCCTGGACCTCTGGACGCGGCGCCTGTGGCCGCGGGGACTCGGAATGAGCTTCTACCCGTCCTTCCCGCCCCGCCGCCTCCACGCGCCCTGCGGGGACTTTGCACAGATGGGAAGGAGTTTGTTTTGGCGTGAGTCGGTTTATCAGAATGAGCGTTCCTGGTAAACTTCCCGTGTGGATTTGCAGGAAACTCAGGCAAATCAGTGTCTCTAAATGCGGTTTCCTGCAGAGTCGTCCCCGCCCCAGGCCCGCCATGGCCAAGCCAGGCTCGGCCCACTTGCCTGGACGGCACAGGTGTGGCAGGCATTTCTCTCTCCCATCCCCATGGCGAGGTCCCGCGAGGGGCGAGGGTCTGCCCAGCTGTGGTGTCCCAGGGTGGGCTGAGCCCAGCAGGGTGCAGTTCCCAAGGCTGAGTCCCTGAGGGTGGCAGGGGAGAGGCTTGTAAGCAGAGCCAGGCCTCTGCCGGCCAGAAGCCCAGCACCTTACACCTCAGATCCACCAGCCACAATCAGCCCCTTAGCTTCCTGAAGTGCCCAGGGCCACAGGGTACAGAACAGAGTGGGAGAGGGGGCGGAGCTGCACCAGGCATGTACTGGCTGTGCATCCTGGACATGGCCCAAGCTCCCACCGCAGACCCACCTGGGCCAGGCCACCACTTCCCTACCCCAGGCAGGGAAGGCTGGGGCACCTGATCCCTACTCTATACCAGTCCCACCTCCTGTGACCAAGGCTACTGTCCCATGGTGGCCAGCATGGCGGCCCCACAACCTGGATGGGGGACCATAGCCAGTCCCTCCTCACCTGAATTTCCAGGTTGAGGGACAGGCAATGCCCAGGTCAGGCTCAGAGGTGGGGATGTTTTTGCTCCACAAGGTTGAATGGCTCTCAGTGGTACATTTGAGGATGGTTACAATGCGAAAGGATAAATTTTGTGCATTTTACAATTCTTTAAAATGCAGTAGAATAAAATAATTAAAACAAACAAACAAAACAGAAACCATTTTGCTGGACCTCCCAGTTCCAACAAGCATAAGGATAAGGGACACACAGTTTCCCATGAGCCCTCGGGGCCCGGGCAAACAAAGGCTCCCCCCCAGGACTCTGGAACTCGGGTCATTTCTGGTTGGCCAATGAGCTCGATGGGGGAGTGTGCCCCTTGGGGACAGGACACCTGTCCACGGTAGCTCCTCCTTGCTATGGGCCCTCCCGCAGTGTGGGCACAGAGCGGTCAGCAGGAGCCCAGCAGGTTCATGACCCTGGGTGGGGCAGGCCCTTGGTCAGCTGCCATCCCCTGGATCGTGGAGAGAAAGTTGAGTCTGGGTCAGCTTCCTCTTCCGGAAGCAAAGCAGGTGGATTGAGCTGCTCCTGTGCCCAGTGGGGCTGGGTATGGCCCTGTGTCCACTGTCCCAGGCATGTGCCAGGAGGAAAGGCATGGATGCTGGATCACTGGGCGGGCAGCTGACCCCGTGGGGCTAGTAGGTGCCACCAGCCAGGCCACAGGAGGAGCGGGACTGAGCAGGGCTCTTGTGGTGCCCAGGATCAGCTGGGCTACCCCACGGGCAAGGGGGAAGCCAACCAAGGGTCTACCTGCAGCAACCACCCCCCATCACAGGCAGCCAGGCAGGGGCAGGTTTGCAGCATGTGAGGGCTCAGAGATCAGGAATGGACCGAGCTGCCACCCTCTATTGAAATGTTAGATCTTTAATTTCCCTGGTATGCAGTTGTGTCCAAGGTGGTTACAGCTGCACAGTCAAGGGATTAGAATTCATTCTGTCAGAAGGGCAGGGGCTGGGCTGGGAAGTGGAGCTGTGGCTGAGGCACTCTGCTGCCACCTGCTGGCAGGCACCTGAAGGACAGCTTGAGGACGAGCCAGGCCATTTGCAGGTGCAGCTCCTGAGCCTGCCAGGCCTGTGTCTCACGAGCCCAGAGTCCAGATGGGACCACCACTGGCTAGGCCAAGGCATCATCCTGCTGGCATCCCTTTGTTCACTGCACGACTGCTCTGGATCACAGCATAGTGTGGCAGGTGTGGCCAGGGCCCAGGATTTTCAGGCACTAAGTATGCCTGGCACTTGAAGGCAGATACCCAGGTAGCAGCAACAGAAGCGGGGTTGGCAGGGACCAACTTGGCAGATAGACCCAGAGCAGGGTGCATGGTTGAGGTCACACCTGAGCCCACATAGATGGCCTTCTCCAGCCCATCCACCACCAACATGTACTCCAGGAATGAGCTGTAGTGGGTGTATTTGAAGCTGCTGCTTCCATGCACGTGTGCCAGGAAGTATGGGCTCCCTGATAAGATGACATTGTCAGCCAGCAGCACAGTCCCCTTCCGCAACTGGCCACACCACTGTGGGGGACAGAGAGATGGTCCCTGGGGTGTGGGGGGGGCAGTCAGGGATTCCCTGCTAACCTGCCCCAGACCAGAAGTACTACTCTCACCTTCCCTCACCCCCTGCCAGGGTTTGGGCCTGAGGACAAGAGCTTTCTGCCCCACAGGCTCCTGGTTCCTTGCCCAGCCATGCACACAGCAGGTGCTCAATAAGCGCTGGCTGGATGAGAGCCAGGGTCAGCCTCAGGTGTGTGGGTTGGGTGGCGAGGTGGGATGCACAGCGGGGCAGCCCAGGGAATGTGGAAGGGAATTTGGGAGTGTGGAAGTTTCCCTGACACAGCCATCAGAAAGAAGCTGTGTTGAAAATAAAGCTGTCTTGGGTGGGCATTTGGCATACCAGTAGAGACTCATGTGTCCCATGTGGGAGTATCTGGGCTCAATGTGCACCCATGTGGCTTCTGACCCCCAGCCACCGGCTAAGGTACACCTTGGGAGGCAGCAGGTGGTGCAGCCACCTGTTGGGTGCCTGCCACCCACTTGGGAGCCCTGGATCTGCCAGCCTGGCTCCAGCCCTCACAGGCACGTAGGGAATGCACCAGTGGATTGCACCCAGCCAGCTCTCTCTGCCTTTGGAACAAATTTATTTATTTTCAAAAGATTTATTTATAGTTACAGAGAGAAGGAGAGAAAGAGAGATCCTCCCTCTGTTGGTTTATGCCCCAAATTGCTACACCAGTCAGAGCTGGGCTGGTCTAAAGTTGGGACCCAGGAGTTTGGTCTGGGTCTCCCATGTGGGTACAGGGTCCTAAGGTGTTGCTTTCCCAGGCCACAAGCAGGGAACTGGTTGAGAAGTGGAGCAGCTGGGATGTGAGCTGGGGCCTAGATGGGATGCCTGTGCCACAGGCAGAGGAATAGCTTGCTATGCCACTGCACCAGCCGTGAAACAGATTTGTTGTTGCTGTTTCTATAAAGCAATCTCAACTCCAAAGCAGAATCAAACAAGCAACCCTGGGCATCTCTGATCTCAGGCAGGAGTGGTCCCTAGTGATGATCCTGGCATTAGTCCGTGCTAGCCAGGCCCTAAGGTGAGGGAGTTCCCGGAGACTCCTGCTTGCCAGTGGGAGAAAATGCAGGGGTCCCTGAGCAATTGTGCAAAATACACATTCCTGGGCAGTCAGGCCATTGAGCATGCTCATGAATGCAAGCAGGAAGTGGCACCATGCAAAGCCAAAGAAATGGAATGTCCCGGGAAAGCAATTGGAGCTCCTGGTTTCGGTCTGGCTCAGCCTTGGGCAATGCAGCCCTTCAGGGAAACAGCAAGAAATGGAAAATCTCTGTCTTGCTCCCAGCGCCAGCAGCTAGGCCCTGGCAGATAAGGGTTGGTCCTGCAGCTCCTTTCCCCACCCCCACCTTGGTTCCAGGCCAGCCTCCCCACTCTCCTGCTCTTGAGGGCAGGGCCTCAGTGCTCTGCACTGGCTCCAGGTGGGTGGGGTGAAGAGTGGGCAGGACCGGGAGGAGCAT